TGTCAACTGTTTTGGTGTGGAATAAGACATTTCCAATGCTTACCATTGAATCTGCTCTAAGACTTGTTGATGTCAACAATGATACCATACTTGATGCTATCGTTCCGTTTGGAACCGGTATGTGTGCAAGTTTATAAAGAATTTAAATATTGCATTATACATTGTCTTGTTACTCTTATACGATGGATCTTTATACATTTCAAAATTATCTAATATTTATTCAATAAATTTATACAATAAATAAACAGTAAGGTTTTATACCATAATGATTTGATACCAGGTAATTTAGAATTGACAAATAGTCATTATTAGTTACTAAAAGATTTTTACCAATATGTTAAATATTTACCTAGTAAAATATTTAATAATTTGATAATTTAATTATGAATTCATCTATATAATCTATAAATAGACATACAGTAAATGTCTAGTGATCGTTAACAATTATTATCAAGTAATACACAATAATTTATTTATATTTTCACTATTTTCTCATTACTTTTGTTTTTTCGTTGCAATCGTTGCACTAAATTCTTTGCAAAGAATCCGCTGACAAATGAAAGTTTAATGCTTTTCAACCATCAAATAGATGTGTTTATCCAATATTTCAAATCAAATTTATATTTTTATTTATGACAGTTATTACAAATAAATTATGAATTCTTAAACCAATTATTTTTGTTTATTACTGTATTTGTTTAATCTAAATAAAATTTAAAACAAAAAATTTAATTTATTTATAATTTATTTTGTCTAAGGGTTGGACGCTTCGTCTTATAATTACATTTCATGTCAAATATATTTCAATCAAACAAAAGCCGATACCTCGGGTTAGTTTGGATTTAATTTATTTTTAAAAATCTTTGTTTTAAAAGATAATTTCCTTCCAAAGGATGTGGAGGTGGGGTAATGGCCATCGATGGACGCACGGGTGAGCAGCTGTGGATTCGTTACACTCCTCACGAGTTATTTGCCAGTAATTGTAATAATGATATTAATGGTGATGCCATCAAAGACTGTATTCTGGGAGGACGGATGGCCGTGAGTTCAC